GCAGGTATCTGATCAAAAGAAGTGATTCACATTCTGCCAATACCAACATCTCCGTACCATATTCATTGTGCACCAATTGCAGGATTGCACTGGCACTATGTCGTCGGATAAACCTACAGAGAATCCATGGGATAAAGAGACGAGTCACAAATTTGAAAGGTATTAATAAGCCATCTCCCTCATCTCAACTTGTGGCAAAGGGTTCAAGATGCTGATTTTTCCCTGCAAAGTAAACGCCCTGGAGAATACTTTGACCCTTGTCAAGAAGCAGCTTCAAGAAGTCTGAAATGTTTGGCTCGCAACGGAGGTGATAGAGATATGTGTACGGACTATTTCCAGTAAGCTTATCCCCAGAATTGAGGATGAAGAAGAAAGCAGTACCGGGTAGTAAACCTGTCTTATGTGGACCCCCTGATACCCAATGCCCAATGAACAATAAACAAGCAACAATGGCAGCAAACTATAAATTGGCTCTTGGGGTTTATCACAGCTTTTGAGACTTTCATACATCAGGACTGTGGACTAATGATTTGCAGAGCATATCGAGACTGCAAGAAGCAATGGGTATGCATCAATCCTTCTATTGTGGTCAGCTAACCACATACTGATATGACTCTAGATCGAGCAACGAAAGGAAGCCAAAAGGAAAGCGGGGTGGTTCTCTTCATGAAAAAACGGATTATGTATGATAGTATGATAGAAATGTGATGTATCAGTTTGCGGAGAGGGAGGATAATAGAGGTAAAAGTCATCGACAAGGGGCCTTATCCGACAGCTCAAAGTAACATTCTGGGCAAGAAATTCAAAAATGGTTGCTCAATTCGTTGGTGTTCTGATAGACGTTGTATTGATTGAAGGAAACTTGTTAATAAAGCATATAATCTAATGTATGCGGAATACCTGTGTACGACGCCTGATATCCATCACTTTCGCCAATAACTAAGGTTAGCTACCTACCTAGATATGGAATGCAGCACATGAATCTTCATTCAATACCACAAAACATATAATGGAACGGCATACTAGATACATATCTTCCTACCTCTGTTCTTGCATTGTTTGGACTTTTACTCATGTTTTCACCGTGTGTCGCTATAATTTATGAGACTATGGATGGCATAGGAGAGAGAGCTAACAAATTTGGTGTTCTTGCCTTTCCTCGCTAGTCAAATCCAATGGTGCAACTTGAAAAAAAAAATTATATTCACCAATATTGATTGACTTGTTGAAGACTCTGATTGTTTCCAGTCCGGCATCCTGATGACAGGCCACGACACCTGCATACATCTAATCAACCAACTTGAGAATACTCAACCGGCTACTTATCTATCACATCCGGCATATCTCCTTCTCGATCTCTACCTGGTAACATTTAAATGATGGCCGATAAGCTACTCAATGATCGTCAAGATATCCCTATTTGGAATGCCGTCGAAGCCGGCAATTTCAAGCAAGCGCTGAAGTTAGTTGACAAGAGGTTGGCCAAGAAGCGGACACCTCATTTAGAGGTATGTGTGAATGGTGAAAAATCACTGCTTTTCTTTCTCACGTGACTGAGGAATTCTTCCATCTCACCAGTATAGCTAAGCAATTTTTCAGGCGTTCAAGATTTATATTAGATCACGTTCGTCTACTCAATCGGAGAGGGATATTGTACTTCCTCATCTTGAAGATTTGGTCGCCAGGAAGGTTGTCATTACGGATCAGGAGGATATAGATCTCTACGATGATGCTTTGGTCAATACCATTCCAGAAGCTGGATCAATTTGGGCAAGGACGATTGGTGTGTTGCGATGGCAAAGTGTCAAAGCATATCCCAAGCAAGAAGATTCTGGCTTGAAATCGTTCAAGGCCTGTTTGTCGGAACGCGACTGGGAACATGCTCAACAGGTATTTCAAGCTCTCACTGATTTCACCATGGAATACTAACAGATGCTTGATAGATTGCAAGTAGTCTTGAAAAGACGTTCCCAGGTAAACATCAATACATTTTCTGGAATATCTCCTCTTTGTTCCTTAGATCCGTAAGTAATTGTATTGGACGAGGAGCATCTTCTGAAGCGTTTTGCTTACTTGTCACCAGATTTCGAGCGATCTTCCAATCGAAAAGAGAACTCTATGGGGCCGCTTGGCTTATGGACAGATTAGTAAGCTTGCTACAGCTACAATACAAGCAGATGTATGTATTCATGTCTTGCCCAAAATTACTGATATTAACTCGGTGATTTCAGAAGTCAAAGCCTCTTCCGACTCGTGCGGTACACACACCGCAGGAGCTGTTACTTTTACAACGGATTACTGCTGCGCATGGTAAATTGGAGGATCGGTTGAATTATTTAAATGAGCCTTCTCTTGGACCCGAGTCAATAGTTGCCAAAGGCGATTGGGAATTATGGAGAAATAAATTAGAGCTTGTGGAAAAATCTGAGCACTGGCAAGAACTTTTTGAGACAACTGGCGGTCTTCTCAAACGTTCACGCACAAAAGATGAACGCGGGCAGATCGTCGAGGCTAGAATGGCCGACTGGGCCGTGTGGCAAGCGTACCTACACTCGGCTCTTTCTTTGCAAACCCCCTCGTAAGTACTGTGACACCAGGATATAGAACAAAAACTTACAAAAGCAGGGCTCTTGATAGAGTTTCGACAGAAATTGCAGCTCATCTGGACCCTACTTCCGGAATTGACAAAACATGGAGAAGAAATGCGTCTTTGGCATGGCTTGAGTTTACCTTTAAGAGTTTTTCTACACCATTTGCTGCTGAGCCATCGGGATCAGATGTAGATAAGTATCCTCGGGTGGCTGCAATCGTCAAGTATTTGCAAGAATTTGGCGATGCTACCACAGCCTTTAGCGATCTCAGGCCTTACGTAGAGCTATCACAGAGTGAGGAACGTACCAAACTGCTCGAAATTCTCAGGAATGGAATTCAATTTGGCAAAAAGGCAAAGAAAGATGATTTGGATTCTCAATTCACGGCCCTTTCGGTCACTAAGAACGAAGTAAGACATGCACTTAAACTCAAATCTGCTTTTTATGTTTCTAACCACTGATACAGTTCGACAATGCAAACGATATGACGAGGTGTGTTAACTTACACAAATTGACTCACCTCATCGTGAGTAGTATCTCTGAACACGAACGTCGGTCGAGCCCTCTACATAAAACTAGCGAACGATCATTCACTTGCACATACTGCTCCAGCCCTTGCGGGCTATACTGTGAGGTCTGCCTCGAGCAACTCTCCAAAGATTCTATTGCCGCTTACACATCTGCAATGAATGACAACGGGAAAATTTCCAAGTCTCTTCTCCCTACAGACAGACATCCTGCCGATGATTTCTGCACATTGGCAGCAATGTGCTTGATGAAACTTGCTCTTTCAGACTCCAGTGATTCTGATGGATCTTTAGAAGGCAAAAGAATCGCGTATACCTTGCAAGCAGCTGTGTGTCTTGAATATGGCTGGTCACAGTCTAAATCGAACTCCGATTTTTCACTCATTCTAGTTAGGATATATGCTTCTCTTGGCTGCGGCCAACAAGCTATGAAAGCATACCTCCACCTGAGTTTGAAGCAGATACAGCTTGATACTCTTGGATACAGTATACTGGATAGGATATCATCCCTGCACCCGCATCCATTCCCTTCTGCCCCAGATGGATCTTCTGAAAATCTCAAGCCTGTAGACCACCTTAAAAAACAAAGAAAGATGTACGGAAATTGTCGTCACCAAGTTTCGAATAACACTTGGAAAGCATTTGAGCATGGAAGCTACAACACAATATTCCAGTTCCAAGAGTTTTCTAAAATCATCACCAACACATTATCGGCAGTGTCTTCTGCTGTTGAGACAACAAAGATATCACGGCTCTTGAAGCAGAGCGCGCCTTCGGATGTTTTTAGCATTCTTCGTAAGTCTACCCTGTTAGTTTGATACAATCAAGAGATGTCTGACATACAACTAGCTAAAAACCCAGAGATGTTGGATAAATTCTCGGATTCCAATGACTACACTTCATTCCCTGATTATGAGTCTACTTTGGGAACAGGACTTGAAAAGTCTACCCGGTTTGCACCTGGTCCATCTGTAAGTTTGTATCATAATACCGCCTGCAGCCCACTAACTCCATCCAGAGCGACCGAAGCCGCGCAGACTTACTTATCGAGAAATTAATCTCCATGATAAACTCTGATGCCAAATCCACACCAATCAATCTTACCACCTTCAGAGAGAAGACTCTCCAGATCTCCACAGGACTCCAAAAACAAGCAGAATTGATCAAAACACACCCAGACGAATCCTTCTTAACACGCTCCGAAGCCTCAGCACTCGAAGCATACAGCAATCTCGCTTCCATCATAGCCAAAGCCTGCGACCCTACCGCATCATCAGCTGCAGATTATCAAACCTTGCTCGAAACATCTAACAAATCTCTATGCGCAAAATTAGAACAACATCTCTCTTTTATCAAAGAGGCTAAAAATGTAACCCCAGCTCTATGGAATACTCTTCATACGCTTTACACTGCCTATGATCTCGCATCTGTTATTATTAGTGCTACGAAATTCCTCGCGCATAAAGATGTTAAAGCTCATAAGTTTCAGATAGAGCAGAGCAAGGCTTTGGCGGGAAGCGCAAAATCGGTAATGGACGCAGTGGTTCAGAAATCGAAGGAGATCAAGAGTGGATTGGATGAAAGTGGGTGGATTGATCGGGTGTTGGAAAGTATGGAGGTGGGAGAGTCAGGGGAGCAGTTGAGAAGTTTGGCGGGAGATAATTTCATGGAAGAGTGGGCTGGGGGTATGGTGGAGGGGTGGAGAGATTCGGTTACTGGACTTGGCTTGTTGAAAGTATAAGGGGAAGTTGTAAATTGGGCGAGGATGCAGATAGACACTATGAGCTCCAATGTGCAGTAAAATTTCGCTTTAGCGAGATATAGAGAGGCATCGTAATAACTCATCTTCCCACAAAGCTCTCACTTCCTACATAGTATTCATGCACCTTTCCAATATTCCCTCAAATATATGTTCATATCATTGTTATTATGTTCAACCCACCTAAATATAATCCTAAGAATTTTTTACCCCCAGACAAAGATAACAAATTTATCACATCATATCTTCCTCCGCAGCCTTCTTTTGCGCTTGCTTGAGAGCAAGCTGCTGTCTCTCCTCTCTCAAAGTAACAAAAACCCAGAACCAAGCCATCATTTCGATAAATCCCCATGTAAAGACAATACGATTCTTCAGACCCTCACCCCAACCACCAGCATGATAAGAGTTGCGCGATGTGAACATAGGGGATGCGGACGAGAAAAGCCAGGAATAGAGTGCTAGTGCTGCGGAGAAGGAAAAGCGGATGGGTGCTATGAGAGAGTTAGTTTTGGATTTGGATTTTGGTATGGATGGAGGGGGGACAAACCTTGGGTTCCCCAGTGGTATTGCGATACTTCTTCGGGCATGGATATAGCTACTAAGTCTGTGATACCGAGGAAGAGGAATACGATTCCGAGAAAGGATATTGGTGCGGATTGGCGGTCGAAGGAGCGTTCGTAGGGCTGTTGTGTAGAGAGATTAGTATGTATTAGATATCCAGGTATTTATATATCTTGACATTGCAGATGTGGAAACTAGAAATAACTCACCAAACCCATCGATTCACCCAGGATGAAAACCAGTGACTGCTCAGCAATCGTCACCGGATTGGTAATGAAAAAGAATGCGAGAGTGATGTGGAGGAGGGAGAGAGAGGTAATGATTGTGGCGCCGGAAATAATCCCCATGATGAATATATGTTGTTGTGTAGAGATGGATGGATAGGGGATGAGGTGGAAAGAGTGACTTTATTATTTTGGATGAGCTGGATATTTTTGGTCGAAAGATCATACCTATCTTCATCAGAGCTACAAGGCTAGATGCTACCCTGAAAGCTTTATTTAGGCGTCGGGATTTCTCCGATTCCGAAGCAGGGGCTGTGCCTATAAATAAGTTTATGAGGCTTCAGGGAAGCTCGAGCTGGAGGAATTATATATATCAAGATCGTGCAGTATTTTGAAATTCAATTGTTAATCAACCAGTCAGTATTCTTATCTCAAACTGAATCTACAGTATTTATAAGCTTACAATCATTTTGATTTATTGCTTTTATCATGTCTCATAAGGTTTTGTGGCTGTTGTATCACATATACATGAAAGTGTTTTCCTAAGGATTTTCTGTTTTGATGATTTATAAATCTTGGCATTTTGGATCAACTTCTGCTTGGTCAGCAATCACCAAAATTCGTTCTTCGGAAAGGGCCCTGTGTCACCACGACGCACTATGAGAATATCCCGAGCTACACCCATGTCATGAACTGTGACCCCTGAAAGTATCAGATGAGGGATAAACAATTTTGAGCTTGTCTGCCATCCAGCAAGATTGTCACAATGGCAGAAGCTAAATTGGAGGTCGCAAAACATATCAAGTATTGGCAGAGATGTTTACACTCTCTATTGCCTACTGTATATACCAGTACAGATTCCTCGCGCATGACGCTTGGCTTCTTCATTCTTTCCGCCCTCGATTTACTTAATGTTGGCGTATCTACATTTCCAGAGTCGCAACGCAGAGCTATACGAGCGTGGATACTACAGTGCCAACATCCGTTCGGAGGATTTTGTGGTTCTACTAATCATAGGTTTCCTGATGTTTATTATGCAGATGTAGGGAATGGGAAACGAGATATTGATCCTGCGAATTTACCTGCGACATTTTTTGCGGTCTTGAGTTTAGGTTTTGTGGGAGGCTTGAAGGATGTGAAAAGGAAAGAGTGTTTGCGATGGCTGAAACGATTGCAGAGGGAAGATGGAAGTTTTGGGGAATTCATTACGGAAGATGGGAAAATACAAGGTGGGACAGATATGAGGTATTGCTATGTGGCTACAGCGCTTCGATGGATGTTGACGGGAGATGCGCATGAGGAGAGGGGAGAAGATGATATTGACGTGGAGAGATTGGTGGGACATTTAAGAGCTGGGCAGACATATGATGGAGGAATTTCAGAAAGTGCGCAGCATGAGGCGCATGCTGGGTATACCTTTTGTGCCATTGCGTCCTTGTCCCTTCTCGATCGACTGCCAAAACACCCCTCTTCGCAATCTACCGAATCATCGAATTCAGACTCCACTTTACCTGGTCTTACGAACTTGCCGGAGACGATTAGATGGCTGGCATTGAGGCAGACTTCGTACAATGAAGAAGAGGAAGAAGATGAAGATGACCATGATGAAGCGGCATCGGACCATCACTTTGTACCGGATGTCGACTCTACTTTCGTCGGCTTCAATGGGCGGTGCAACAAGCGAGTTGATACTTGTTATTGTTTTTGGGTTGGAGGTTCCTTGAGCATGCTCGGTCGCTCCGATGTTATCAACAAAGATGGATCTCGACGATTCTTGTTCGAAAAAACACAGCATATGATTGGCGGTTTTGGAAAAACGCCAGGTGATCCACCAGATATCTATCACTCGTATCTGGGTCTTGCTGCTCTAGCAGTACTGAAAGAACCTGGCATCAAGGAACTCGACTCCGCATTGTGTATCAGTGTGGATGCCAAGAAGAACATAGAAGAGCTAAGGAAAGCTGCATTAGTTCCCTCTAGGACATATTGGGTGCATGGATACAGTTTCACGGTTAGGGAAGATAGTCCCCAATTTGGAGAAAAGATGGCAATGGATGAAGGTCCGCCGGAAAGTCTAATAGATGCTTTTGAAGGTGTTAAGATAGCGGCATAATAGCGGTTTTGTAATTCTTGACTGGGTGTTTCTGTAGTACTTTTATAATGATACCACCTGAATTCTTATCTTTGATAACTGTATCAAGTAGAGAGTGGCTTGAATGTATCATGCTCGCTGTACACGTGTAACTATCTTCAAGCTTATCTCCGGAACTTTTTTTTCTTTGGCATATCTCCCTGAAACTCCATCACGCGGCTTTTTATCGGCAAAACACCCGAGCCTTCGATCGCCTAACGTCATTCGCCGAAGCTATGAGCTTTGAGCTCTTTACCGTACCTAGGTCTTTCAACCTCGTTAAAACACAACCACATTCAATATGAGGCTTCTCAATTTTTCTCCGCTTCTCCTCCTGGTAAATGCGGCTCAATCGTTTGATTCGCAGACTCCAATTATCGACGAATCGTCCTCTGGCTCATTGAGCCTCCTCGAACTTCACAAATCCCTTGTCGAGATTGGATCTATTACAGGAAATGAACATGATGTCGGCGCATTCCTAATTTCTTATCTGAAGGAACAAAATCTTACCGTGGAGATACAAGATGTCGAATTAGTCGAATCGTCATCGTCGTCGGGAAAGAAGCGTCAGAATGTGCTAGCATATATTGGAGACAAGAGGCAAACGAGAACATTGGTAACTTCGCATATCGATACCGTGCCGCCTTTTTGGCCATATGAAAGAAGAGGTGATGAAATATGGGGCAGAGGAAGTGTAGATGCGAAGGCGAGTGTTGCAGCACAAATTACTGCGTATCAAGACCTTATTGCGGCCGGCAAGATTCGCGAAGGAGATGTTGCGCTTTTATATGTGGTCGGTGAGGAAACATTGGGGGCTGGTATGAAGGAGGCCAACAATCTGGGTCTTTCTTGGGAAACAGTTATTTTTGGCGAACCTACGGAACTAAAATTGGCGGCTGGACATAAGGGGATAATGAGTTTACGTATAACTGCGAAGGGAAAGGCTGGCCATTCGGGATATCCTTCGTTGGGAAGAAATGCAAATGCGATGTTGATTCCTGCCTTGTATGAGTTAGGAAAAATGGATTTACCGTGGAGCGAGAAGTATGGAAATACCACGCTCAATATTGGAAGAGTTGATGGAGGTGTCGCGGCGAATGTTATTGCGGAAGACGCGATGGCCAAACTCGCGATTAGAATCGCTGCTGGTACGCCAGAGGAATTAAGAAAATTGGTTCTAGATGTGATAGAAAAGACCGGACAGGATTTGGATGTTGAATTCACTCAGGGATATGGACCTGTACATTGCGATAGTGATGTGGAAGGCTTTGATACCATCACAGTCAACTATGGTACTGATGTTCCAAATTTAGAAGGAGATCATAAGAGGTATCTGTATGGGCCGGGAGATATTTTGGTCGCTCATTCTGATCACGAGCATTTGAAGATCTCTGACCTTGAGGAGGCTGTGGGCGGTTATAAGAAGCTCATCGAACACTCGCTGGCTTAAGTTAGGTTAATTGGACATACAACTCAGCACCGTGATATACGATGAAAATCTCGGCTATATGGAATTTGGCCAGTCGGAATTTTACATCCCTTATGATGGAGCCTTGCTATAATAGATATCGGGCGCGAGCCTTTTTCGATAGAGTCCTGGGATGCAATATCCATTCATAAAAATTGGTTTGAACTTCGAGGCATAACTCATACTGCGTTTCCCTTCAAATGTATGTATTATTGACAATGTTGGTGCCAAAAAGTTCCTATACGTATCGTCGAGGGTAGTGATCTGAGTTATAATATACATGGCACAATAAGAAATTCATGAGAAGAGCGCCTGGTCAGGTCTTGGTTGAGATGCTTACGCTTTCTCGAGTCAATTATCTTCAGATAGATCACGTTCTGTACTTTTTTGGATTCATCCGAACTATCGAATCATGAATCTATATCAAATATTGAATGTCAACAATCACATCATTCTATTGCCGAAGGATTTGCCACATACAACCGCGGCTCTGTTCCTTTCTTTCCTGCCAATGTTACAAATAACAACAATATTCAACCTTCAGATAAATTCCTGCTGATACAACAGAAATAGAGAGATCGGTATGTATAGTATTTATTTTGTTCTTACATCTTCCATTTGAGAGACGTAGAGTTGACCTTAAAGCACATCAGGCTTAGCCATCTGTCATTCCATTGTTTGTCTCGAAATATCATGATCAAAACTTCCTCGAACATTGTCATCATGGCCATAGATACAGACTCCAGCGTTGTTTGCAAAGCGCCATTTGAAGTACCAGCTTGCGAATTCTATGAGTAAGTATTGTACGATTTCTGTCCTAGCATCATTATACTCATTCTGTGCAGACGAAGCGCGCTTTTCCATGGCGGAGATATGGTCAAGGTTATTTTAGGGCCTTCCAAAGACGAGACGAACAACAAAGAACGAGTGGTATCTCGCAGCCTTCTTTCCTATTATTCGAAAGTCTGTGAGGAGAAATTCGAATTGTTTCAAAGTAAAAGTGACGAAAGCTCTGTCAATGCTAATGATCAACATCACAATGATGCGGTACTGGATTTGAATGAGTGGGATGTCGAGACTTTCGATATGGCACTCCAGTGGATGTATACTGGCAACGTCGTCGTCAATATCACGAAACCCAAACCTTTTGAAGTAATACGATTGTATATTCAATTTTTCAAGATTGCAAAGGCGTTAGACTTCCAGGGCTCTTACTCGAATATAGAAAAAAACCTCACGGCTGAACTTGCCGCCGCTTCAGAAGAAGAATATGATGAAGATGACTAGAATGAGGATGACAAGTCTCCCATCATAAGCCCCGCCTCTAAGAACATACTGAAAGATGTATATGCGTACCCCATTGAAGGACGAATCCGAGAACTCCTGGCGAGTTTCTTGCTCAAACCGTATGTGAAGCACTTATTATGCTCTGATACGAATGCGACCAAGGCAAAGCAGTTTAAGAAGTTATTCGAAGAAATTGAAGGTCTGGAAGTGGATGTTTTGAGATTGGTTGGGGGATCGTTGAGTAGTCTTTCGATGGGTAAAGTGGATGGTGAGGGGTATTCGAGGTCGTCGATGTGGTGTCCGTTGACAGAATTGAGGTTTGATACGGGGTGTATGTATAAGGTTGGACAGTTTGTGAAGAGGTCGAAATTGGGTGATACTTGAGTGTTGTGGGTCATGGTTATAGGAGTGGTTCTTTGGGGGGCGTTTGGTGATATTTTGAGGATAGAGTTTGAGATATCTTATTTCCGCCGTTCATTTTGGCTCAGTTGCATTTTATTACACGTTGATTTTACATGAGATTTAAGCCTTGAAGTAGAGCTGTGAGTCGATCTTAGGCAATGAATCTTTTGTGGTAGTACTCGATATCATACAAGGTAGGGGTTTAGTTTACTTCAAACTTGTTCATATTGATAGCATACGCGCCAATGGGCCATTTACCAGAGTTTTTGTCGACATTTCAGAGAACTCTACTGGGAAAAGGACATGATTTCCAATTCAACTGTGTCATTGCAATGCTACTGGTTCTGAACTTATCCACAATGGATTCATTACGGTACTACTACTCATATTGGATTCAACAACAAGGTCGGCCTCAAGGGAAATAATGACGCTAAATAGGCGGCACGCACTAAAGTGGTCAGCTGCGCTGTATGTTGTGACTGCCTGGGCCTGTACGAAAGCATTCGTCCCGTTGACCAGAAGACTCTGGCCGTTCAGTTGTAAAAGTTGTCGTATCAAAAGGATTTGATATCTTTGTTTGTTCTATCCTTCACACCGTCTCCAATATTCTCATACTCGTAGTCTACTTCATTGAATATATACGGCTTCATCGTTTGAGTCTTCTAATATATACTTCTTCAACTGTCACCTCTCATTCCAGAACTGTCATAACCTTCATCACAAAAGCATAGAGCCACCTCCAATTTGGCTTTCCAACACAAGACCTACACAGTTTTGCCAGCACAGAATCACTATCACACCGTCTAAGATGGAAACTCCATTAGAAACCCCATCGGAGACTCCATTGGAAAATGAGAAGTCGAAGATACTCATATTTATATTAGAATCCAAAACAACAGCACCTGAAACGTAGGTCTACTACTACCTACTATTGATCGTCATAAGCTAATCTTTTTAGTGAACAGAGCTTGTACGAAGGTCCAACTGTGACTATCATTGTGGGACCAGCGGACAAATCTAAAAAATACATTGTTCCTCAAGCCCTCCTATGCCACCACTCCAAATTCTCTGATCGCGCTCTCAATGGACCCTTCAAGAAAAGTATTGAGAAACGAATTGAGCATCTAGAAGAAACAAGCGAAGAATTTGAGTTGCTTCTAGAATGGATATATTGCGAAACGATTCCCTGGATTCCTGGCCCCCAAAGCATCGAGACGATTATCAAGTTCTACACCATTGCGGACAAATTTGACGTTCCTGGTCCATATAGAAAAGCCGAAATGAGCTTAAGCACGACACTCGTCAATCATTGGTATCGAATGTGCATTGAAAGTGGCACATTGGCATATAAGATTCTCGAATCTGCATATCAACTACTAGTGGGACATGAGGTGCAGCGTCTATTCGGAAAAGTATGCGTACGACCATATCTTGTCTTCGAGTATCTTGTGAAAGGTCCCCAGTGCAAAATCGAATCATTTACCATTAGATACTAGACGCCATTACCACCTGATTCTAATTGGTTAGATGTAGAAGGCGGCTTTTGATACTGTCGACGGGTTGGCGATCGAGGTGGTGAAAGCATTGGGTGACATAATGATTAGTGGATTTTCTACGGATCTTTACGCAATGCAATGCTACCAGGATCCCTTAACGGGAAAGAAAATGAAACTCTTTTTGAATAGGAGAGTGTCGGACCTGTTTTATACGGAACCGACCCATGGAAGGCTCATTACACGTGGGAGTTTCCTTAGATTAACGTAAGTCGGGGGTTGGAAACTCGAGATATTCAAACCGCAATGGTGTTGTCAGATTATTCGGCTATCTTAATACATTGGGAGGGGGGTACTCGTGAATGGTATCTACAATTCGATTGGTTGATAATTACAATGCAATTCTTCAATAACTTTTCTTTTCTGTCAGACCGCGATATCTTTACACTACCATCTAGTCAAGACTATTAATTTTGATTTTGATCTCAATAAATTAGAACCAACGTGTGATTGGCCGGTTGTTTTCAGATATTTCCATACATATTGCAAATACCTGTCACGAAGCATGGAAGAACTACGAATCTTAAAGGCCTCTCTCGAAACCTCAATGCATGATTTGATCTTGTCCCACCTTACAATCAGCCAAATCCTATCACTAATTGCTGTCTTGACATTTCATCGTTTCTGTAGAAAATTGATGCACTTCGCTGGACTCCTCACATGCATAGCTGTTTTCACATTGTAAGTGTCAGCCAGAATGTATGAATGGTCAAATATAAGCCCAGTAAACTCATATATAGTCAATAGTCAGACGAGTAATCATGGCAGGAAGTATTAATTGAAGATGCTGAGCAATCACAGATTTAACCTTCTTCTCACATCTATCACTCTAATCGCAGCCCGAGAGATTAGTGCAAAATACATCTTTCTCTTATATTCAAGTGGTTCGTTTTATTTGAACGTCCTTCGCCTATTTCCGTAGCATTTTTATATCGCAGCAGAAGTAATGGTATTAATCCATATAAAGGCTACAATGTGTATATCTCTTTTATGATCAATAAGACGAGACCGAAGGACGAATATAAGAACAGACTAGAGCCACTGGGTTTCTTATCTCGTCTCGCCTTGACTGGTAATGATAAAGTTCTTGCCTCTTCTAGCATCAAATCAACAAAGACATTCAATAATTCCTAATTTATTCACAACACAAAAGTGCAGCAACATTTCCACTAGAGTTTATATACCGAGTGAGACGTTATATCCTCCGAAGGCTCTAGTAATCAGAATTATATGTTCAGACGTTTAAGTGTTGCGTTAAGTTGATCGAGGTCGTCGCTTCCTCTTTTGCAAATCGCGCTAAGAGTCTGACATTCAGAGAAAGAAGACGGTGAACATGGGATGATTCACCAATTCTCTCAAAATTCAAGTTCAAGTTTTAAGTTTTTCTCTGGAGAATCATCGATACAATGAATGACTGAAACATCTGGTCTTTGGTACTAGTTCAATTCTTCTCACTCCAAGTGGTCTTTTAAATACAGCTAAGGTGTGTAACAAAGCACCAGGTGTATGCGACAACCAGTCTGAGCCATCAAATTCAACGTTACTTTAAGTTCAAGTACTGCTCAATCTGATTTTGTTCCTAATTACTCAACCAAATCAAGTGATACAATGGCAAATTTCAACCATTCTGTATCTAAGATGTTGGGTTCTCCCACCGAATACAATTCTGCGAAGAACAACAGTCAAGAGAATCCTGCCTCGACCGACAATCAATTGAGTGCTAACAGTTCAGCCTATAATCGAAGTCCTCTAGCAACATTAGCGCCACCTACAATGAACACTTCAACATTCATGTCTCCTGCCAGATCAGTGCCTGCTACGCCGGCGAGGTCTACCTTTTTTGGCTCTAGCACAGCTAGTCCCAACTTCGAATCCTTCAGATCTAGAGTAAACAGCATTACTCCTACTGCTCAAGAAATTCAATCATCTGAGCCTCCTTTAACCAATGGTGAGCTACCCCCCCCCCAGAAACATTCAATAATGAAAATGAACAATGAAAACGCCCTGAGAATTAAAACACTGACAACCTTTAGCCTCAAATCAAACTCAGAGCGATGCAGTTAATGCGCCACCCCAGGAACGTGCTAAGACCACTCATAACATTGCTGCTCAACTGCCCGCCAATGAGTTCACAAACAATCTCGATTTATTTCGCGGTCCTGAAGTTCTTGTCACCGCTGGTATTCAGTTGGGGGTCAAAAGCTATCTTATACCCAAAGCATTACTTATTCAGGCCTCGCAATACTTCAAGACTGCCATCACAGTTGAAACTTTGGGTCAAATCACACGAGAAACTCTCAAAATCGAATGTTCAATCTTAGCATTTGATTTTGTTGTGCAATATCTCTACACTGGTACTTTTGTCCGCCCGGATATTGCTGGTTTTAGTTCTGGGTCACAACAAGTTGTAGGTCATAATGAAGCTCTAGGTGGTATGAAGCAATGCTAACTCTCAAATTACATAGACAAATCTTATCGAATTTTATGAGTTGGCAGAGAGATTTAGTCTTGATATCTCGGATATGATCTTGGATAACATCAAAGAGATCCTTGTGATAGATCGTCTTTACCTTCAGGCAGAGCACATTCAAAAAGTTGTTAGTTTTCCGAACGGACAAAAACTTCGAATGCTGTTTGCTCGCTCATGTATTCAAGCCTACCTTCAGTCTGTCAATCTTGCTCATGAGAAAGCCAAGGCATTCCGTTTTCAAAAGGAGCTCGACACATTAGATGGATTTGCGGCGGACCTTATGCGTGTGTATCGAGAAGTGGCAGACAAACGTACACCTTGCATATTTGCCGAGTCCTGTGATCTTCTTGATGGCAAGAAATTCTCTTATTGAGCGAACAATAGATTGAGGGCAGGAATGGCAGGAGTAGCATTAGTGGCTATATTGTGTAACTTACAACATAGGGGCTTTTTGTTATTATAACACACTTTGAGCTCTTTGAATTGCAATAAACCAACTGAAGAATTTGATGTAGGGACGTGGGAAACTTAAGGTATCAATCATGTGGCATATTATATATGAGACGCATGAGATAGAATCCTCGTACGACACCGAACAAAAAATGAAAAGAACCTTGTTGGCTAGATCATTCTATAATACTGCCACATAGAATAAGCGTGAAATATAACCTTGAAAAACTTGCTCTCTCATATTGAACTTCCATCTCAGAACAGAAATATCGAAATACCTTGTTAGTCACCTATTTCAAAACTATTTCAAATGAATTTTTGAATTCCTAAATCAATTTCTATCTAACTACTTCAAAATACACAGATATCAATTTTTTCCCACAAGAACCGCATATCAAGAACAAATGGGCATTATGGACAACGAGGTCTTTCATTTCGAGGAAGATGACGATGATGATTATCAAACCTCCAATGATGAATATAGCGACGAAAATGAAAATGAGAATGAACCATGGGCAACCCGCAGCAGAAGATCAACCAATCCAGAAGAACAAGCTTCTAGGGAGATTCCAGCAGATCAATTCTTGAGGTAAATTGCATGAACATTTATAAACTACATGATTTTCCCATATCCTCTCATTCACTCGAGCTAACACATCCTTCCCAGCAAAATCAATCTTCTACCTGGACTCACCGTCAAGATCGTCGTCAACTCTATGAATGGCTCGAAACAAACTCTGATTCTACCAAAGAGTCTCCTCTGTACACGATCCCCATTCTTCCAGCTCGCTTTCAACGGTCCTTCCACAGAATGCCCATCAACATCTCCATCTCCCTCTCCCTCCCAACCCCAAGAACTCCACCTCCCCGAAACATCCCTCGCGGAATTCGAACTCGTGATCCAATTCCTCTCCACAGATACCTTCATCTTCCCACACAGCATAACCGACTCCTCGGAAAAACTCACCCTATACCTCCTCTTCTTCAAATGCTGCCACCAATTCTCCATCGTCTCTCTCTCACCCCTCATCCACCGTTTCCGTAATTTCCTCCGCTGGTGTTCCGCGCGCGGCGAATTCCCCAATCGTTCTCACATGCAACTTGCGATTTCTCTCCCCGCTTCCCACGAGGCGCGCAAACTAGCGGTCGCTGCATGCGTCAAACCCTATGCGTGTTCGATTACGAAATCAAGCACGTGTTATGGACGCGCGCTGTTTCATCTAGAGAAGTATGTAGAGGAGGAAACGCAGTTTGCGGCGGATTTGTTCAGAGCGTATACGAAGGCTGTGAGGGGCGCGTTGGGGACCCATACGATTGTTGATCCGTTGACGGGGATGGATTATACGGTTAGTACGGGGGTGGCGTGTCAGTTGGAGAGGAGTAGGGGGGATAGGTGTGTGAATCATTTGGGGAAGTTTTAGGGTGTGGGGGAGAGGGGTTCGTGGTTGTGGGGGGAGGTTAGGGAGGTATGCGAGGTGGCAGTTGAGGATTGAGGAATTTTGTTTTTGCATGATTGATAGGGAATTATTGGCGGTGTTTAAGGATGATAGCAAGTAGAGGATGGATATCTCACTTATCAGGACTAAATTATGAATGTAAACAATTGCACTATACTATTGCTTACTTGCTGTTCCCCCTCTCCCCCCCCCCCCAAAAATACTCTGACAAATTCACTACCAAATCTCACCATCACCAACCGGCCCCACAAAAAAATCACCAAAGAAACCTCCAAAGCAACCAGCAAAATGGCAAAACTCTAGGCCCGGACGCCTAGAATCCCAATGAACCAAATCGTTTTTACCCTATCTGAACTTGCGTTCAAATAGGTCTTATATACGTTGTCACTGACGAAGCCCTGCCAATGCGAGGTAGAGAGGCGGACATCATTCTTCGAGAATGACGAACCCTACCTGCTGCGCCATACGAGACGTGGGGGTGCTTGAAGATTGATGTGATTATTTAATATTATATGGGTAGCGAGGAGGGGATTTTTGTGGTGGTGACTTATTGGCACGTGCCAATATGGTATTGAATGAATGCCCAGGTGCACATTGAATGATATGGGATGTACGTGGAATATGCTGAGGATAATTTTGATTGTGCAGTAAGTGTGAAATTATACTGAGACTTACAACCCTCGCAGATACATTTGTTTTGCATATATTCTTGCATTAATTTGCATGCGATTCTCTACCTAGCAGTTGGGCGGACTCTTGAGGTCTCATTAATTACCGTCGCCAACGCAGATGCGCATATGCGGCTCGCACTTGCAGGCAGGTTATGAGAGCCAAGGTAAAAAATCGGCTACGTAGTTCAATATCGTCATTTCTACGCTCTCCGTCAAATAAGGCAGCATGGCTTCATGTTTTTTTTTTTTTTTTGCATCAGACAGACGTATATGGAAATGAGAAATACATGTCGTGATGAATGGGGATGATATTTGCGTGTCAGTGGACGCAGATCTAAATTCTCCTTACAAGCACCCAATTTTAGACCCGCGTGTTTGCAGGTCTATAGCCAGGTATTCGATGCACTCAATACCGGATTTTGATCAATGCGTTTCAGGCAGTGCTGTTATCTGGATCAAGAGACCTTTTGGTGCTGCTTTGGAAGAGTATGTCTCATCGACCGCACTTGCAGCATCTGTATTCTGGTATTTTGATATGCAAATGATACGTGGCCGGCCATAGAGCCCTGTACCAAAAAGAAGCTCGCATGTGGTAATCTCGCGCCTGTCAAAACCCATGATGATTGTCTGAAAAACATCCACTTCCGCGCTTAAATAGAGTTCTGAAGCATACTAATGTTCCAGAATACAGTTTATACAACGGTTTCGCATCTGCTGCCTACCAAAAGAGTCTATAATTAATATCAGAGGGTTCGGAACTGGCGAGACAGATCCTCCGGGAAGAAACCCGAGTCAAATACCCTCGAAGATCAGGCTCTAGAAACTTCTTGGCTCTAATCTAGAACACATTTCGCTTCCACTTCCAACCAAAGCTTCGAATCCTTCGAACCCAAACGTCACTAGAGTATTGATGGAAGGCCTTGCACGCAAGGCTGGGAATTCCATAAAATTTCTGTATCTTTGATCCTTCCAACGAACCGTGAGGCTGAAAGTGGAGTCGGACGGCCATGACACCTTAGATTTGCTAATCTTTTGAGCCGCCGCGCACGAGCATTGGCAATTTGCTTGGCTTGTCCTGACAAAGGGGAATCTACTGCTTATCCCCGCAGAGGGTCAAGCTTTCAGGGTGGGGGCCTGTAAGGCCAGGAAATTTTGATGACTGGGTTGGCTTGGGCGAAAACTGCATGTAATTTTCAAGCTGAGGTATCAAGTAGAGCTTTTCAGATGAAAAATCACCCGGATTTGACTGGAAAGTTCATGTAACAAGCCGAGCCAAGTTTTCTCAAAGCAATTGAAGCAAGTGCTTGGAAAAAGCATCCTCGTGTTGGTAACGAAAATTTCTTCCTTGCTGCTGTGAAAGGAATGACATATGCAGTGAAATGGAGAAGGTGGCCGCATCATAGGCGACCATCCCCAATGCCAGCACCCATTTTCCGTATACTCGCATCCTTCTTCGGATGGCCGAGTAAGCAAACCCCGACGCCGTCTCGAGTGAAGTCAAACGAGCTCAAATGCGTTAGAGGCACGGGGAACCAACTACCGGAACATGTTTGCAACTCGTCTTCTCGGATTGACCTCTCTCAGGCCTCTGTTTTCCGTGCAGAGCTCCACCAGCTCCGACATCCTACGTGCTTTCCGATGTGAATCACGGGATTCTTTCCTGGAGGGAACCTTGGTGCAAGGGACCACGTAACTTTCCCGCCGATCTTGTGATAGATGTCATTTGTGCAAATTATGCTTTGGCGAGCCCGGGCGGATTCGATTGTGATGTGGTCGAGTCACAAATTCACAATATCGGCAGTGGCAGTGGCAGTGAAGAGGTAACGGTTGACGGTACGACTAGGAGTTTTATTATGGATTCGGTTCGCGGAGTGAGCCATTATTAGACCAGATGGATCGATGGTGATGTTGAGTTCCGATACCATACCTAATATTTTTTCGAGGGTCTGTTTCAGTGTAACCTGCGTGAGATGTTTAGAGGTTGTGGAGAACCGAGAATCCTGATTTCATTCGATGGGATGTTGGATAGGCTTTCGCCTCTAATACACTATATCTGTTTAGTATGATATATCCCCACGTTTGGGTTTTAGTTCGAAACTAGATGCTCTAATATCGCATTATCTGATCCGTTTGGTAGAAGAGGGAGAATTAGATCATCATTCTGAACTTTGAAAGGGAGAGACGAATGTCCTAACGAATACTTAGACAAAATGTGATGTAAGCAATTACGACGCAAGCAAGGCTTCCTTCCGAGTGCCACTGTCCCTAAGACTCCGAAGCTGTCTCGGACAAATAGACTGACGAATATACAATCCGATGTAAGCCATTAACGCCTCAAGGCGCCCGAATCCCAAAGTACCAAGTATTTTGAGGCTCTTTTCCATGGCCATAATTGGTATGCATCCGTGTCTTGCATTAATTCACGACTGCAAAATAGTAATATTAGGTCTTATCTCAAGACATGGAGTTTCTTCCTCATTCAATATTCTGTGCCTCAGTGACCAACTTCATGGGACTGCAGATGACCATTGACTTAACACTGCCATACGGCTACTCCGATATTTCAAAAACAATCTCAATATTCCTCCAAAAGTGTTGCATTGAAAGGAATAACACAGTAAACGTTCGTTGATCCCATTGAACAATCTCCTTCCTATTGACGATATTTACGGACATCATCAAATGAATCCTATGCCACAGTAAGGTTACACGACGATGAAAATTATGAAAATCATCAAGCCAAATATAATACGAAGAACAATTTCTCACCCAAAAGCACATCCTCGTCTCTCCCAATACCCCTTCCCATCCCCCATAAGAAATCCAAACCCCTCCATCCCATCCCCCAACTCCCCTGGTATCCCAAACCTCACTTCTCATCCAATCACCACCCTCCCTTCGTAATTCAAGCATCTAGTCCCCCGCCAAAAACTCCACATCTTTTCTTCCTCAGCGCTTAAGGCCATTCCCCATCACCCCAGCACCAATCAATAAGCATCCACTTGTAAAAGCGTGCCACCGACCCACCCAGCACACCCTTATCCGTACCCTGTCCCTGTCTACCTCCAATCAACCCTGCGAAAGCCCCCCATTCATCTAAAATCTCCGATCTGGCGGCGCTTAGAACCCTGTCCTTTGGCATCGTTCTTCGAATTTCCCTTCTTGTGTATCCAATAGCTTATCCGAGTTGGGAACATGCCACAGGCCAGTCGGACGGTCTTTTCCCGCTTGCCGTTAGTGGTTCGTCGCTGCTTTGTGCGGTTCTCCCTCAATGCCGTTTGTGTGGTTTGGGGCTCCTCTCGCCCATCAAGTAGGTAGGTATTCAAAATAGAAATCGCTGTGCGTGCCGCATAGGATGGATGATACCCGTATGGCAGGCTTGTCATGTCATACAGTACAGTGAGACACGATTATCTAATTTTGGTCAATGTAACCTCCTCTGAACATCCCCCCTCAGTTCCAGAACGTCAGGTATGGAGGAGTACACGAATGCTACAAAGCCATCGATATGTATTTCTTTTCACGACAAGAATAGCTAGGAATTCATCGCGGAGTCTGTGAAGGAAGATTACGCTTATTTTCCCCTCCCTCGAAGCCGACCAGCCTACAAATCCGGTTGTGTATTCCGTAGGGATTCCTCAACGTTCCATGTGCTTATCACACTGCTTCTATTGTATCCCTAGGTAACTTACAGTCTAGAAAGGAAGTTAGTCAGTAAAGTCTTTTTTTAATGGACCCCTTCCAAGCAAACGTGACACGCTTCATCTTCGTCACTTTGTGGCTTGGACGGCGGGTGATATACGAAATATAGCTTAATTCATTCATGCAGCCATGTTCCCTCTTCTGTGAAAAGCGTGAAATATTTCCGAGAAACATGTCACATACATCCATACTCACATATATCACCGGTACTGAGTGGATTCACGGGGTGCATTTGCGCTGTGGGAATCACATCGGTACTTGGTTTTGGGGATGTGATATCTATATTGCGGCGAATGCACGGCGGGGAGTGATTGATTGATTGATTGATTATCTCTTGATGTGATGGGTCTTGGTGATGTGATTATGCGTGCTGCGTGATTAATTGATGCGATGAACGTTGAAAATTTCTGACTGCATGTGCAAAGATATTGAATAGTAAGAACTTAAAAGTGTGATTACATTTAGTATTGATATTGATGTTATTGATAGATATGTAAGTTATTACTCACACTTGAGAAAAAATGAGTTTCGGGAGTTGTATTTCGATAGATATGCGATCCGGTAGATCATGAATTTAGATCAAGACGAAGG